GCCATTCTATATGACAGAAGCCAACACAATATTGTAAAGCATTTATCCTCCAATTAAAAATAGATAAGTTTTAAAAAATAAATAAATGAAATTAAAAAGATAAAGCTATTGCTTTAGTCAAAGGTGTGCCTTAAATGACACGGAGTCAGGTACCGAGAGAGATCTCAGCCTGGTGACCTCAGTTTTACTCTCAGACCCTTCTAGTATTGTCTACAGCTGAGACAGGAGAGGTCACTGCAGTTGACCCTAAACCCTGCACACGAATCAGTGATATTTGTACACATGTTACAAAGGGGATTGTGGTGAAAATTAGCAAGTGGAACATTTCCAGGATGCAACTTGTGGATACTGACATCTTGAAACAGCCCCTCTTGGGGTCTTAATAGTGTTGTTCCTATAAAAACCTAATATGTGACATCTTGTATAAGCGGACTCACCATCTCTCCCTCTGTTTTAAAGGTTTGGCTCCATCAGTCAGTATGACATCCAGAATCTTGTAGACAAAACTGGGGAAGAGGCTAGTGCAGAAGGGTCCTGCCCTCATTGTCCATGAGATTCACCCATGATGTCTCATTTTCAGTAGTCTGTTCCTTCTAACTGGCTGTGAAGGAGCTGTCTAGTAAAGACAACTATCTTATAATTTTAAAAAGCATTTTGATAAGATAGTCAGATGTCAGGGTTTACTTTGTCATCCTATGTCTTTGTCTTATGCAAGTGAGTCCACAAGGTTCACCAGACTGCCAGGAAACATAAGTGTGTATGTGGCATGTGTGTGTGTGTGTGTGTGAGAGAGAGAGAGAGAGAGAGGAAGAATGTGAGAGAGAGATTGGTTAAGCGATTCGATTCCAAGAGTTCACACGAAACCCAGCTCCACAAAGGCCTAGTAGCCTTCTGTAACTGCAATAATCGAAATAAGTGTCTAAATTAACCAAGACACACACACACAGAAATGTTTCATGTGAAAAGAGAAGGAAGAACAATGTGTACTAGCCTTGGGTAGATGACTCAATTCGTCTGCTTGTTAAGACCTGTAGGACCATTTTCACAAACCAGGCTGAGCCAAGTCCTTTAAACCTAGGCTGTTGTTAATCTTCCTCTCATCTCAGAGACGTGAAATGAGAAACACCCAGGCTGTGCAGCAAAATGTCCTGATAAAACGCTCGAAGTAGAGCTTTTCATTACTTTCATTTTTAAAATGAACCTCCAAAAAGGTATACACTTGATACTTATTAGAAAAATCTCATTCAGTAACTAGACTAAGTAGATAGCACGTGCTTACGTTTCCCAAACAGAGTGGGAATTACGGCTTCCCTGTCATATTTTTAGCCTGTGGTCACTGCTCCTCTCACCTGGCCCATCCCTCTACTTAATTGCAGGCACAATTGTTCTCCAGTATTTACCATGGAGTGACTCCTCTGTTTGCCCACACGAACAATGGTGTTCTCATTCACTTGGGGAGTGTCCTTTAAAGACTTGTGGAAGTGAAGTGAAGTCGCTCAGTCGTGTCCAACTCTTTGCGACACCATGGACTGTATAGCCTATTGGGCTCCTCCGTCCATGGGATTTTCCAGGCAAGAGTACTGGAGTGGGTTGCCATTTCCTTCTTCAGAGGATCTTCCCGACCCCGGGATCGAACCAGGGTCTCCCGCATTGTAAGCAGATGTTTTACCGTCTGAGCCACCAGGGAAACCCCAAGACTTGTGGACTGCTCCTCAAATTTTAAGACTGGATCTTTCTTTTTTCTTTTTTGTTTTCTTCCTAAAGTAATATGTGTTTACGGAAGACATTTCAGTAACTATAGATAAGCAAAATGAATCAAAAGTCACCAAGAATCTGATCCAAAATACTTTCTAGTATGTATACATACATGCTATAAATATAAATATGCATGATATTTTACTGTGCTATGTTTTATCAAACCAGTTCCTTGTTGTCAGACACTAAGGCTCTTGTCAGTTTCCTAGGTATAAACAATACTCCCAAAATTATCCCTGGAAACAGAACATCTTTGATGATCCTCTTGAATTTCTAAAAGCAAAAATATTGGGTTAAAAAGGATGGGCAGACGTTCTAGATTGTCACCTTTCTGAAAAATTGCATCGAGTCCCATACCTGTTCCCGTTAGCATTAAGTGTCAGAGAAAACATAATCGAAGAGCTCTCACACACCTATAAAAACCAAATTGTAGTGAACGTACATCCCATCGATTTCCTTAGATTTCAGTTCAAGAGTTTTCCTTGATGCAAGTGTTTGCTTGTAAATTTGGCAGCACCAGTGAAATGATCCTCAGAGGAAACTATCCAACCTTGAAGCCATATATGCTATTCAGGTGACTCCGTTTCTACAGGAATTTTTGTTTTCATGTTGCCAGGTGATAATAAGCTGTTTCGTACAGTTCCCGGGGGAATTCCCAGCCAAACTGAGGAGTTTAGACGATGACCGATGCAGAATATGAGCTATGAATAGAAATAAACTAAGAAGGGAACTTGTGTAAGCTATTTCCTCTGGACAATTTCTGTTAAAGGATCTACAAACTAGGAGAAACTTTGAGTCACTCAAATTTGGGCTCTGATGGGGATGACTAAAGGGTCACTTCTGTTGTTCAGCTGCCGAGTGGCGTCCGACTCTTTGAGACCCCAGGGATGGCAGCATGCCCGGATTCCCTGTCCCTTACCATCTCCCAGCATTTGCCCCAAGTTCATGTCCGTTGAACTGTGATGCCATCCGGCCATCTCACCCTCTGTTGTCCTCTTCTCCACTACCTTCAGTCTTTCCCAGCATCAGAGTCTTTTCCAATGAGTTTCATTTTCCAATGAGACCCTTTCCCAAAGGGTCACAGGAGCCTGCCAAAGCCCCCTTTGGTGGGGGAAGAGTCTGAGTTCCAGAGACAAGACTCCAGCATCTGGGCAGGGGCAGCAGAGAAAGAGGAGGGGGCCGAGGAAACTAGTGGGTTTTCATGTTAGACTCACCTGGATTTAAACATAGTTTCACTTGCAAAATGTTGGCTTGGGGCAGACTAGTCAACCTCTCTGATCTTCGGCTCTGTAAAGTGGAGATATGCCCCACCTCAGAGTTCTGTTAAGAGATTTCAGTGAAATCTGTGTAGAAACTAAGAGAGTGATGAACACGTTGAAGGAACTCAGTTGAGTTGCTATCATTACTGTCATGGTTAATAACCGTTATTGCCATTTCCTTTGAGGATGGACTTAGGGGGAAAAAGTGCTTACTCAGGGGATCATTATGCCTCTTTTTTGGATCCTCTGTTGCAGGGGTTCTTTTTTTAAAGTATTTATTTATCTTTTCCAGTGGGAGTATAGTTGCTTTATAAATCTATTTTGCACATGGTAGTGTATATATGGCAATGTTACTTTCTTACTTTGGCCTACTCTCTCCTCCCCGCTCTGTGTCCACATGTTCATCCTCTATGTCTGTATCTCTGTTCCTGTATTGCAAATAGGATCATCTTATCATTTTTTAAGATTCCATATACATATGTTAATATATGTATTTGCTTTTTTCTTTCTATTGCAGGAGTTCTTATTTATGCCTGTGCATGATAAGTTGCTTCAATCGTGTCCAACTCTTTGTGACCCTATGCGATGTAACCTGTCAGTTTCCTCTGTCCAGGGGAATCTCCAGGCAAGAATACTGGAGTGGGTTGCCTTGCTCTCCTCTCGGGGAATCTTCCCAACCCAGTGATCGAACCTGCGTCTCTTATGTCTCCCGCATTGGGAGGCGGGTTCTTTACTGCTAGCCCCACCTGGGTAATCTAAGGCCTAAGGACTCCTAAGAGGCCCAGGGACTGCTAACTATGGCGAGGGAAGCTGTTAAACTTGGATGGAAAGAAATTTTATCATTGTTTTTATTAACCTCTAATGAAAATCTTGTATTAATATATCCTTTACTGTGACTGCATGGAAGAAGTCACAGCAGAATCAGGATACTGATTGTATTTTGAACAACAATACGAAATTACACACCTTTTTGTATCACCTCAAAATCTTTGGATATATCTCAAAATATCATTTTAATTGGAAATGTATTTCAAACGTACAGTAGTTCTGCGACTTCCCTGGTCGTTCCATGGCTAAGACTCCATGCTCCCAATGAGGGTGACCCAGGTTTGCTGCCTGGTCAGGGAACTAGATCCCATATGCTTCAACTAAGGGTTTATATGTCACAACTAAAAATCCTACATGCCAGTACTAAAGATCCTACACGCCACAATGAAGACCCCATGCAGCCAAATAAATAAATAAAAAGAAGTACAGTAGCTCTCAGACGCCCTTTCTTTAGCTCACTGCTAGATCACACTTGATCACTGCTTTCCTGTCTACAGGTACTGGTGTGATGGAGATGCCTTGCAAGACAACTATCTCATGATTTTAAAAAATGTCTTGTTAAAATAGTCAATATCTGGGTTTACTTTCTCATCCTATGCCTTTGTTTTTTGCATGTTAAACAGTCTTCTTCAAAGAAGTCCATAACCTTCACCAGACTGCCTGAAAGATGAAGGCATAAGGAAGATTGGAACCCTTCAGGCAGGAGACCTTGGTCTCAGGAGGCGCTCTGCCGTCTAACAGCCAGCGAGGCTTCTTTATTAACTAACTAGTTTGTCTGTTGCCTAGGCCAGTGAACACCAAATGCAGACAGTTTCTGTATACAGTTCCCAGTAGGGCAGGGGACTCTGTCACTTGAAAGAACCTAACAATACAACAGATGCGAGATGTCAAGAGAGAAAATGTCTGTTACCTTCCGGAGGAGCCTGCTGTCTGGAGCACCCAACGCAAAGCGAAGTTGCCTGATGAGGTGGATGGCCCAAACGCATGGAGAGCAGAGGGAGACAGAAAAGGAGAAGGAGGATGAAGAAGAGAAAGTGGGGTCAAGAACCCAGAAGACACAAAGCCCCTAGCAATGGCGGCTGTACAGTCTGCAGACTGAATAAAAAAGGAAGGAAAAAGGAGGAACGTGAAACAAAGGACGATGACACCAAACAACAAAACGGTAGTGAAGGCTTTATTTGTTGTATGAAACAAGTAAATTCGGCGGGTATTTGCTCATGGTCCTCCCGCCCCTCGTTCCCCGCATTCCCATGGTGATCAACTGCTTTATTCCATTTCCCATCCTTCTTGTCCAGGCCTTCCTCTTTTTACATCCATGATCCTCAGTCTTGTCTTTGAAGGCCAGTAAGTTTTCCAAGTGTCAGAAAAATTCAGGATTTGGTAGTCCTTGTAATAACTCACTGTCTTGCCTATTCTGACTCATTCATTTATTTAGATTCAAGTATTCTCAATCTACCTCCCAACCCCCAACCTAGGGAATTACATGTCTCTTTCATAACAGGAATCAGTTCAAAAGGCCCCTTGTTAGAGGTTTGCATACAAATGGGAAACACCATATAAACAGTGAAAAAATATATCTTTTCAGGTTGTTGGATTTTCTCCATAATGGTCTTTAAAAAAAGCAACTAGAAATCTTTCATTTAATAAATGCATGCATATATAAATATATAGAATAGTAACTGGAATGTGATATTTATCCTTGTAATGTTTCTCAAAAACATGATTTCAGCCAGAGTTTATCTCAGGTGGGCTGAGAACTGTCAGTCTGTTCAATTAATTCCAGAGTGTGGTTTATTTTCTTACTCTTAAAAAAATAAAAAAGAATTTCTCTGCTAAGTTCAAACACCAATATCCAGAGAGGATGCCAGTCTTTATACACACTTATAAAAGTAGAACATGTGGTGTATGATACACTAGTACAAAGTTTTACAAATTAATACAAGTAAAATATATAAATTACAGTGACATTGAGGGAGATTTCAGGTTTGTCTTGGGGTAATTCTTCTAGCAGTCATATTGCTGTAAAGAAAATGAAATAAGTATCAGGTTCTGATCAGGCTAAACAAACAATGATGACATTTTGGTGCTTTAAATCTATTTTAAGCAAACGTAAAGCCGACCAATCTCAGCTTCAGCAGGGGTTGGGCCAACAACAATGAGAGCTTAGACAATGCTCACAAAAAGTTTCCTAAACAAACCGGACCATTGTCCTTCCCAAGTAAAAGCTGAAGAAAGAGGCCTTGGAAAGTGCAGCTTACAAGGCCTGGCTGGCTTTTATATGCTCAGGGTGGGTTTTTAACCTCAAGGATTTAAGAGATAATGTCATGGGACTTTTACGTTGGTGCCAACTCAATGTGGGCAACTTTTGAATTAAATGCTACATACAGAGTTGACCAATCTATACTAAAAGCCTTGCTCTTTGAAACTGTCTTTTGTCTTGCAAACAAATATAACAGATCTGACCTGCAGTGTCTGGGAAGAAGCCACCCCTATAGTGACTGGGAAACCCAGTAAGACTCTCGGCTCCCTTAACTGGGAAACGAGAGTCATTCTGCCAAACCACTGCAGCAATTTTAGTCACTGACACATTATATTGTTGTTTAATCACTAAGTCGTGTTTGACTCTTCGCGACCCCAGGGACTGTAGCCCGCCAGGCTCCTCTGTCCATGGGATTCTCCAGGCAAGAATAGGGGAGTGGGTTACCATTTCCGTCTCCAGGGGGTCTTCCTGAGCCAGGGGCCCTGCTCTGGCAGGTGGATACCTGTCCCCAAAATGCAGCAGCGCTGAAGCACAACGGGGTCTCACCCAATTTAAACTATCGCCTTACAGGAAACTCAAGGCTAAAGACAGGTTATATTATAGTAATCCCAAGAGCCTTCTTTGCCTCTGCCCAACCGTATTGCCTGGAAACAATTCCATATTGAAAGTTTTCCACTCTGCTGTTTTCTCGGAAATTTGGCAGGCTCCCAAAGCAATTATTAATCTTGCTGTATTTGCCTGATAAGGACATCTAGATTTTTATTTTAACTTCCCCTCAAAAATTATAGAAAGTTTCCATCTATTTACAGCAAAGCTTTTCATGATAGCCATGGGGTTTTCATTTTTCATTAGGTTTTGTCTTACTTTCAAAGAAAGTTAGGAAACCCTGAACCAGAGAAGTGAATGGTTAGGAAAATACAAATTAAGTAAGTTTCAGTTTTCCTAATCCTGCTTTACAGAACAAGACATAAAACAACCCTTCCCTTCCCCCAAATTCAACCAAAGCTGGACTTCCATCAGTTCGGTAATATATGTTTTTTTAGGAAAATATAGAAACAAGAACTTTCCCCACTACTAACAAATGCATATTTCTTTTCCAAATCACATCCCCAGGGAACAAGCGCTTCCTGGTTTTCTTTGACAGTGAAAGGTTTTTTAATAAGCTCTATTCAAAGGCTACTAGTGATTCTCTATCCTTAGCTATTGTGGCATTTTTGTGACTCCTTATTAGGAAGAAACTGTAGAAAACCCAACAGAACAGCAAGTCCTGCATACAGGTTAAGAGCAGGAGCCGTGGCATTTGAAGCCTGTTGCTTCCTGACTAGGTGATTTTAGAAACATTGCTTAATCTCTGCATCATATGCTCTTCTGGAATAGGGGTTTAACGCGATGCCTAGGGCAACAGGTGATAGCAGTTACTTGTGTACACTAGTTGGGAATGTGAGAGCAGGCAGAGAGAGGACATTTCTTTTGTGTCTGTGCAGCCAGAGCAGGAGTGGCGAAAGGGGTAATGGGTTAAATCCTGAAGAAGCGCCGTGTCTATGGGCGACATTGTCTTATTTGCACAGAGCCAACGGCAAAGAGCCAAGATAACCCAGGAACTGTGACTCTCAAGGCAGCTTAGCCCTGAGAGCAGGGCCCAGCGGGGGAAGGGATAGTTAGGGAGTGTGGGATCACCGCGTACACACTGTTATGTTTACAATGGATAACCAACAAGGCCCTCCTGGATAGCACAAGGAACTCAGCCTCAGTGTTACAGGGCAACCTGGGTGGGAGGGGCGTCTGGGGGAGAAGAGATACACGGATATGTGTGACTGAGTCCCTTTGCTGTCAACCTGAATCATCCCAACACTGTTCACTGGCTCTATGCTCTTCTGGAATAGGGGTTTAACGCGATGCCTAGGGCAACAGGTGATAGCAGTTACTTGTGTACACTAGTTGGGAATGTGAGAGCAGGCAGAGAGAGGACATTTCTTTTGTGTCTGTGCAGCCAGAGCAGGAGTGGCGAAAGGGGTAATGGGTTAAATCCTGAAGAAGCGCCGTGTCTATGGGCGACATTGTCTTATTTGCACAGAGCCAACGGCAAAGAGCCAAGATAACCCAGGAACTGTGCCTCTCAAGGAAGCTTAGCCCTGAGAGCAGGGCCCAACGGGGGAAGGGATAGTTAGGGAGTGTGGAATCACCGCGTACACACTGTTATGTTTACAATGGATAACCAACAAGGCCCTCCTGGATAGCACAAGGAACTCTGCCTCAGTGTTACAGGGCAACCTGGGTGGGAGGGGCGTCTGGGGGAGAAGAGATACACGGATATGTGTGACTGAGTCCCTTTGCTGTCAACCTGAATCATCCCAACACTGTTCACTGGCTCTATCCCAGGATAAAATAGAGAGTTAAAAAAACCCAACTGCTGTAAATGCTTTTCCACAAAAATGGAATAAACACTAGTAGGTTGAGCAGGGTTTAATTTTTGTCTTCTTTTCTCTAGGATGAAAATAATGGTGCATTTTTACACAGGTTCTTACCTGTTGGCGAGAGGAACAATAACCGCAGACACCTCCAAGCATTCCGTTTATTACTTGAATGAGACACAAGATGAATTCAATCCCACCAAGTGCCAAGAGGATGGAAAACAGAGAAACATTCCATTCCACTATATGCTTGGGTTCAACACATGTGGACCATGTGGAGCTATCCAGAAGGTAACTGTGGATAAAAAGAGAAACTCTGACACACAGCCACGTCCAGTGGGATGTCTCATAAACATACTTCTCATGCCGTGTTTTTTCATTTAGAAAACAAAAAAGATTAATTCAACGCCTTATATCAGATGCTTCCAATCCAAGTCTTTCCACAGGAAAATAAGGAATTTAAATAAGGAATTTAGCCCAGATCTTGTTGCAATAATAGATAGAAAATTCAGCAAAGATTGTTGAACACTCAGTGTGAGTTAGACATCTAGACAAGTCTAAGGATACAAGAGCCTGAACTCTGTCCTGGAAAAGCATTTCTTAAGAGAAGAAATGATAGGCAATCTCAATGCAACCAGGACCCTGATCAGGTATATTAAGTGTCAAAGGGTCACAGAGGAAGGACAGGAAACTTAGGCAAGGGAGAAGAGTTGCTTGTGTATCTAATCCACAAGTCTGAGCTCCATGAAGGTAGGAACTAGAGCTATTCATCACTGTCTATTCAACCCCTAGACCACTATCTGGCCATAGTAAGAATTCAACACGTTGGAAAAGGAACTCAGTGACAGAGAGCAATCTGAAGTCGTTTTGTGAAATGCTAGCTGACCACCTGCTGTTGTTTAGCTGCTCAGTCGTGTCCAACTCTTTTTCAACCCCACGGACTGTCCCCCGCCAGGCTCCTCTGTCCATGGGATTCTCCGGGCAAGGATACTGGAGTGGGTGGCCATTTTCTTCTCCAGGGATCGAACCCGCATCTCCTGCATTGTAGGCAGATTCTTTACCACTGAGCCACCAGGGAAGCCTCAGCAAGCCAAACTGGAGTCATTATCTGAATATATACATTTTCTTAACAAAATAGGATTCAATCATATGGGAAAATCTAGGATTGACTTAACTCCATTGAGAGATCTAGAATAATTCTTTGCTTGTAATGTCTTCCTACCACAACAGAACAAAGGGACTGAGGATTACAGACCTTATTTTGCAGTGGTTAATGGAGCCAATCAAAAATTCAATTTGATTGATGGAATTATGATTGATTATGAAAAAATTCTGTTCTTCTGACCCTATATTTAACAAAAATCCATAATTTCAGGACACAATAGAAAAAAATTCTTTGGCTCCACTTGGCTATTAAGCAACTAACCACTGGCTTTTTATTTCCCATATTGAAATCTCTAAAGAAGTTGAAATGAGGAATGACATAGAAACTGGAGGTTTCTTGCAGAAGTTGATTAGATCCATGAGAAGGGAGATGGATCACCTCTCCTTGGATGAATCATAATGTTTTTAGCCGTGGGTTTGTGTGTTTTTGAATATAGGAGTAACCAGTTTTGAATACAGGAGTAACCAGTTTCTACCAGTACATTCAGCATATTCAGAACAAAGCATGAAAAGTATGATCTGAAAATCATGATCAATAACAATTTTGAACACCAAAATTTCAAATTCCAGTGAACACTGTTTTCCTACCGTGGGGCTGTACATGTTGCAAGCTGTAATAAGATGGCAGTGCTCATTCTGTCAGCTTTTGTGACAAATATTTTACAAACAGTAACGTCTAATCTTCCTGACAACCGCCATTGGTTTTATTTTACAGGTAAAATAACTGAGATGCAGGGAGCTCAGTTCACCTTTTTCTAATGACTGAGACAGTAAATACAGAGCCGGAATTGAACTCAGGATCTATCTAATCCATATTCGATAGATATGATATCTATTTAATACATATTCGATAGATAAACTGTGGAAAATTCTTAAGGAGATGGGAGTACCAGACCACCTGACCTGCCTCTTGAGAAACCTGTATGCAGGTCAGGAAGCAACAGTCAGAACTGGACATGGAACANTTTGAGCTGTGGTGTTGGAGAAGACTCTTGAGAGTCCCTTGGATTGCAAGGAGATCCAACCAGTCCATCCTAAAGGAAATCAGTCCTGAATATTCACTGGAAGGACTGATGCTGAAGCTGAAACTCCAATACTTTGGCCACCTGATGCAAAGAACTGACTCAGTGGAAAAGACCCTGATGCTGGGAAATATTGAGGGCAGGAGGAGAAGGGGATGACAGAGGATGAGATACTTGGATGGCATCACCGACACAATGGACATGGGTTTGGGTGGACTCCGGGAGCTGGTGATGGACAGGGAGGCCTGGCGTGCTGTGGTTCATGGAGTCGCAAAGAGTCAGACACGACTGAGCGACTGAATTGAACTGAACTGAATCCATATTCATGATCTTAAGATATCCCTCCATGCCACAAAATTCATGAGAGACAAAACATTCTTGAAAGTATACAGGCAATTCAAATTCATGATTCAGATTATTTTCACTCATGAATCTCATGAGTAAACCTTTCAAAATTCAGTATGTCATTCATTTATCATTATGTACATCAGTTTCCATCAGCTATTTCTGTCCTTTTCTCAATAATAGATAAGAAATACAGTATCAGCATTAAACAGTGGAGCCACTTGGATTTTCCCAGTGTTAAAGTCATGAATAAAAAAAAAACAGTCATGAATAAGATCTGTCTTATACAGCCTGACCACTTTGAATAAAGGGTGTATTATACATAATTGCTATGTTATATGTGTGTGCGTGTTGGTAGTATGATTGACCCTGGGCTTTGGTTAAATGCATATGGTTTTCACTGGTGCTATATAGGATTCCATAAGATTTTCTTATAAAATAGAAGAATCACACAATTGCTCTGGTATAGTATACACACTATACAAGCACAGACTCTATAGCTAGGTTGCCTGGGTTCAAATCCTGACTGTCACATCTTACCATTGTCACTTTGGATAAGTTACTTGATCTCCCTGGGCCTCCATAAAACTACTCTGTAAAATGGGAGCAATAGTGGAAGTCCCCTTACGTGTCATCAAGAGGACTGAGCCAGTGAATCCATTAAAAAGCTTCTCTGGGTCAGAGGCTGGGAATCCATCCTCTGATGCCCACTGCCTGAACTGTCCCCAAGTCAGTGAGACCAAACCTGGCAAGAGGATGGGTGAATGAATGGTTGATGCCTTTTTAGTCTGACAGGTTTACCACTGTATGCACGTGGTGGATAAGAATGTGCAGCCTTCTAGGGTACAATCACTTACTCTCCCTCTGTGTTGGCAAAGGTGTAGTTCCACTGGCCACTGGCATCCATGCATCTTGGTCCTTCCTCTAAGCCCAGCGCAGCCACAATGACACAGTAGCCAGAGCCTGCAATCCCGAGGAGTGCGGCCAGTATAGAAGACAGCATCTAGGGAAGGGAGAACCACCAGCAGTGAGGCGCAGAACATCACAGCTCCGCCTTAGGGGCCATTTCCCCACCAGAGCGGGAAGACCTACCGCGCATCTTTTGCCACAGTTTTCGTGGCCACAGCAACCGCAGCAGTCTTCCTGGTCCAGCCCGATGAAGGTGAATGCCGGCACGAACATCTGGTTAGAAAGCATGCAAGTTGAAGTCATTGACTCTCCCCAGGTCCATAAGGGTCAGTCAATCTAAGCATCTTTTGGTAAAACATTTTTCTTTCCGATACTGCTGAAAGTCTTTGGGTTAGGCTGACCAAATATCTCAGGGAACATAAACTCTGAGGAGAAGAGAAAAACCTTCAAAGTGTAATACCTGATTATTTTTATGTAGTGTGTCCCATTAGGCAGGGTCAGGATGTAGCATGGAGGGGTACAATAATAACCCATAAATGTTAATTCCATAAGAGTTCATAACATAGTTCCAGATGCAAACTGTTTGGAAAATAGTAAACCCTGTCTTTAAATCTGTTTGTTGGTTGGTTTGTTTGCCCTTGCAAAGCATGGGAGATAACAACAAAACTTTGAGAGAATAATTAAAATTTTTTTATAAACAAGACAGGAAAACTCAGTACAGGCGCACTGCTTCATTGAAGACACCACGGCATGACTGTAACGTCACAATAAAGCTCTTAAAATGAGTTTGAAATCCTTTGAGTTCAAGATCAAAAGAAGTTTAAACAGGCAAGGTATTGTATTGAAGACAAATGATTAGGAAATCAACTATACCTCAATGAAACAAAACAAGACAAAAACTGACCTGAGAACTCGTGGGAGAAAGAAAAACAAGTGATTGTGTTAGCATGATAGTAATGCTTAAATTCAAAGCAGATTTGTCATACCAGAGTTAGTGTATTAAGTTTAAATATCATTTACTTGACTAAGAAAAATATTCTGTATGGTATTAGCAGTTCCATAGAACTCCTCTTCAAAATTCACAATCCCAGTATTTTTCAAAGTGGCAAAGCCAAGTTTGTCCACATTCTTTCCAGGCTATGGTCGAAGCTAATACTTTCAGTTCCCAGGTTGGCAGGCAAATTCCTCTCACTTCACTTAAAAACAAACCTTGGAAAAAACAACACATTCCACTATTAGCTTCAGACCGTGATTTGCTGCTAACTGAAGGATTTTCCCTAAACGCCACACCCCAGGCTTACATAAAGGAGAAAATTTATAGTCCTTTTTAAATAGCAGCGCTCTCACAATTCATAATTTTTCCCTGTCACAGATGTTTGAGAACAAACAGCGAAGAATTTGTATCCAAAACTCTGTTGATTTAGACAGAGAACTATCGGACTCCTCCCCGTTTCCCAGAGCGGATGTGAAATGAGTACCAACTCCAGGACTAGAAACTCTAGAGGTTCTCAAATCTGTTTGAAAAGCTAGTCTCTGTTCCTAGCTGTAAAGTAAGAGAATTTAGCAAAAAGGTAGTTGAAATGGGGATTTTGTAAACCAACGTCTAGTAAAATGAATACCCTATACTTATCTCAACATTCCTTGATAAGTTTTCAAAATAAGAATGAACAAAAGTCCTGGATTTGGAAACATGCCTGACAGAAAACTTCTCATGAAAACATCTCATCTAACAGGAAAGAATTTTTTTTCAAGGCTGTAATGATTTCTGAACGACTCACCAGCAAGCCCCCTCCCAGGATACCGGAGAAGAACCACACGAAGCGGCTGAGATGGTTCTCAGAAGCATACTTGGTTTCCCCATTGGGAAAGTAAAGCAAAACATTCGCAACAATGCAGAGGGTGGCGAGCCACGCCAGCGAATGTCCGATGCATCGCGCGCATCTCCCGTAGCACATGCTGCTGGACTTTCTTTTCCCTCCGCTTCACTCCGCGGCTTGGCTCAGCGAGGGCCCTGATCCGATGAGAGCGTGCCCCGTCTGCGGGAGAAAGCACACACAGCTCTCAGCCCATTCCTGCGAACTCTTAAATACTCTGATTCTTAGTCACCACCGGTGGATGAGGCACTTGGTTTTCATTGGTCCCGATTGCAGGCTCCGGTGGGGGTGGTGGGAGGGAGAGAACGTCCCGCCCTCCCGATGAAATCCTTGGGAGAACGAAGCCAGGGGCAGGAGCTGAGAAACAGGCTGTGTTACAGGCGAGAGAGAGATGATTCATCCTCCACAAGGAATTCACTGTGTAACTCCTTCACAGGGTTAAAAAAAAAGTCCACAGGAAAGTCTAATTCAACTTCCCCGTAAATGCCCAGCGCCCCCCGTTTAGCAGCGCTGGTGGAGGCTGCCCGTCTGCTCCGCGCAGCTCCTGGACGGCTTCCAGGCTGAGGGCTCTGTTCGCTTCCACCTCCGCGCTGATTTAGTCTGAGACCCGAAGCGGTCTCCGGAGCTGGAAGCTCGCATCCCTGTCTGCTAAAGGGTGTGGGAGCCATCACTCACAGATTAAAGGAGGCCGCTGGGAAAAGGACAGGGCTGCTTTCTTTCCTCGGCCTCTGGTGTCCTGGGCAGGACCGCGCCTGCTGTCCCGCCTTCCCGGACATCTGCCCCTAAAACAAATCTGGCACCCACACAAAGGTGGCATTCGTCAACACAAAGGGCGCAGACGCCTTTATTCCCCAGTATTGCTCTCAGGCAGAGCGAGGCCAGCATGGGCCTAGGGAGACCTAGAGCCTGGGAAAAGAATAGAAAAAGAAGAAAGAAAAACAAAGGAACAGAAGAGAAAGGGACTTGGCAAGCAGAGTGGGGAAGCAAGATTGGGAGAGTCTGGGATTACTGAGAGAGGGCACAGGGCAAGTGGTGGTCTGCCAGCCAGATCCCAAGATGAGCTTTTGCAGGCCTGAAAGCACGTTAGACTAACTTTCTGCTCTGATTATTTTACAGAAGCAGGGATTGGATTCTGAATAGGTCTAGCCCTTGAATAGCAGGTGGCTCTGGCCAGGTGGGTAAGGGGAGGACTCATTGGCTAAGTGGGGCCAGGACTGAATGGACTCCATCACCAGGGCAAAATAGTGAATACAAAATAGAAGCCAAAGGCCAAGATGAAGGGTTGTTAGTTCACAAGAGGAAAGCGAGGAACTTCCCTGGGGGTCCAGTGGCTAAGACTCCGTGTTCCCAATGTAGGGGGCCTGGGTTCAATCCCTGGTCAAGGAACTGGATCCCACATGCTGCAACCAATGATGCTTCGTGTTGCAACTAAGACCTGGTGCAGCCAAATAAATAATTTTTTTAAAAAAAGAGGAAGGTGAATGCAGCTGATGAATCTAGAAGCTCAGGCTGAGGCCAGGGTTTAAAGGATTTGGACCAGATCTAGAGGGCAGAACACACGTCAAAACTGAGGAGCCAGCTGGTGTTAATGACATGGGATCCAGACTGGGAGAAGAATCGAAGAGGAAGCATGGCCTGTGCATACTAGAAAGGGTGGATGTTCAGACCGGCCTAAGAAATAGATGGATGGGAAACTGCGTGCAGACAGGGAGGCCCGGAATCACCCACCTGCTCAGGGGTAGGGAGGCAGGTCTTTGTATAAGACCATCACAGGACTTCCCTGGTGGTCCAGGGCTAAAGAATCCACCTTCCAATGCAGAAGATGCAGGTTTGAGCTCCGGTTGGAGAACTAAGATCCCATATGCTGCGGGGCAATGAAGCCTGCGGGATGGCTAGAGAAGCCTGCATACCACCACGAAAACCTAGCACAGCCAAATTAAATTAAATAAATGAATAAAGCAGAAGGAGCATTAAAAAAAGAAGAAGAACATCCCTCCATCACCACCAGGTATCCAACAACCGAGCGTGGGTGCCCTCTGTCATGGCTTTCGGTCCTACTGGGGATGATTCCACAGGGGTCAGAATGTGGGGTGGTAGTGCAGGTGAGTGACTGGGTCTAACTCTCCACGCTGCAGATCTATCCCACCTGTGGCCACAAAGGAGGTGAGCGACCCTTTGATGACTTCGCCTCCACGTGCTTAGATCCCCTTCCTCCTTCTCCCCCAACCCTTACAGTCAGCAGAGTCCGGGGAGGAGAACAGGGGGCTTGGAAAGAGAAAATCTGGGATGACAGCCCAGCTTTGCTCTCTGCCAGCTTTGAGGATCAGGCGAGTCACTTATATTCCTGGGACTCTGTGTTTCCTGCTCTCTGAGATAAAGGGCAGAACTCAACTGGTGGTTCTTAAGTTTTTGAGTCTTGTAATGATAAGGACTCTCCCCAGAAAAAGAAATATGCATTATGCAAATATACATGTGCAAAGTTAGAGATGACTGAACGACTAACACACACACATGTTTCACTCCCTTCCTGGGGATTCATGGACTCCCTGAAGCCCATTAGTGGATCCTGCCCCACGTTTCCCAAGATGTGGCCTGTCCAGAGATCACCTGCGTGTCAGACACATATTCCAGTCCCTCGCTGGACATGCCGAACAGCAGTTTGTCACTGTGAGGGTCAAAGGACTGATGCTGAAGTCAAAGCTCCAATTCTTTGGCCACCTGGTGCAAAGAACCAACTCGCTGAAAAAGGCCCTGATGTTGGGAAAAATTGAGAACAGGAGGAGAAGGGTGCAAAAGAGGATGAGATGGTTGGATGGCATCACTGACTCAACAGATATGAGTTTGAGTAAACTCCGGAAGATGGTGAAAGACAGGGAAGCCTGACTGCAGTCCATGGGGTTCAAAGAGTCCGCAACTCAGCTACTGAACAACAAGGGTTGGGGCCAGTCATCTGCATATTTTACAAACATTTCAAGTGGATCTTGTGTTCACTCCATAAGATTTGGGGATCACTGGTCCAGTCCACAGCCCAGATTAAGTATCATTTGTGTTAGATGTTAACCTATGTTGGGAAGAACCCATGGAGGAGGGCATGGCAAGGCACTTCAGTATTTTTGCCTGGAGAATTCCGTGTACAGAGGAATTCCATGCCTGGCGGGGTACAGTCCATGGGGTCGCAGAGAGTCAGACGTGACTGAACAACAATACTTTTTTTTTAAGGCCACTGTCACTTCCAACGGCGTCTCAGCTCTACCAGAGAGTGCCTTTATGAACTGTGGGGACATGTCACAATTCATTATAGGCACTTTCAGGCTCAAGCTGACAAAATTATCCTGTAATATGGAGTCCCTTTCCCCTGCCCACCCTCTGTTTCTATCCCTCTGTGGGTAACCTAAAGCAGGGACTTTTCTGGCTTGAATTTTTGGTTTAAGAGCAGATATGGTTTTCTAGACAATTCCTTCAACCAGTTGGCTCTGGTCCTAGCCAGACATTGCCCCAGAGATGACCCTGGCCTTCCTCTTGGCTGTGAACCCTCAGCTTCCTGTGCAGAACTGTCATCGTCCTGGGTTTCTTTCCACTCTCCAACCCCCATCCATAGCTCTCCCACCAACTCTGCCTTCCTGTCTTCCTGTTCTGAGCCTTATCTTCTTTTGGAGCTTCAGGCTGTAGGATTCTACTCATGCATCCCCTCACGGAGGCCAGATGTGTGCACATATCACATACCGCTGTTCTGTTCTCATCCTTGAAATTATTCTGTGTGTTCGCTCGTTCCCTTTCTTCTTTCTCCCCGTCTCCTCCCCTCTGACTGTGAGACCCTTTCTGCCTTGTCCACTGTTGTTCCCCGAGGGCCTGGTGCACAGTAGGTGCGCCATAAATTTTTGCTGAGAGGTGGATGAATAAGGTAATGAACCGATGGCGTCTCAAGCCTCTTCTCCGCAGGCTGGTGCTCCAGTCCCTCCACCCGCACCTCTACTTCGCCCCCCTCCGAACACACAGGCTCCCCCGGAGCGTCGGAGTCCGCGGTGCTGCCCCTTGATCCTGACGGTGCCTGGCTATTTGGTTTGGGATGAGTTAGCAACAATTCCGCACCTCGTTTTCTGGCATTCATTCGTTCACCGGTGTTTATTGAGCTACTACTATGTCTTCCAAGTGCTGGGGATGTGGCAACAAACAGAACTTCCTGCTCTTAAGGAGACTGCAATCTATCAGAAGGAGCGAGACAAATTTTAAAAATAGCGCTTTAAAAAAACGTGTTGTGTACTGGTGATGAGTGCAGGAAAGGGGGATGACTGGGTGAGGAAGACGGCCTCTGAGTCAGGATAATAACAGAACCTACATCCCAGAGTTGCCATGTGTGAAGTGAGGCATTGTGTCTGAGGCACGAAGCACCTGGCATTTAACAGTCACTTCATAAATGTTACTTGTTATTACTCTTCTCATCAACACACTCTCCCGGGCAGGATGTCTGTACTCCATTTATGATTCCTTATATCTCGGTCCCTGGGATTCCATCACTCCAATATATACTAGATCCCTTTATTATTTTTTGTGACTAATTTTTAAGTACTGGAGTTCCCACAGATATTTAAAAGCTCACCTTTATCTCCCTCGTTCACGCGGGAATCAGCGCCATCCCATGAATACCTTTGGAAAGAGTGTTTTTTTACTGCACTACAAGGACGGCCGGCCTCCAAACACTGGAGCTGGTTCTCAGCCTCGCGTCTTGTGTGGGCCGTCCCCCTGCTGCGGGAGAGGCCCTGTTCTTCCATCCTGCCCCGGTCTGGCCCCCGCGGCTTTGCTCCCTAGACAAAGCTAGTGAAGTCATCACTTCTCCGTGACACCACCCATCACATCCCTGCCTGCCTCCCAGACTGGCTCATCCCTCCTACCTTGTCCCTGAACACACCCCACCGGGGACCAGTCAGGCCACAGTGCATTAATGCGCACAGCCAGCCGCCTGCCGAGCCCCACCGGGGTCCCCGAGAGCAGGCTGTCTTTTCTTCTTTGACGGCACAACATCCAGCTCAGTCAGGTGTTTAGTTGGGTCCCAATAAAGATCTGCTAAGTTTTGTTCAAGTACACAGACAAGTTGAATCTGCTCAGTTCTAAGATGATTTGCTTTTAAGCAATGCCCGGTCATAAGAAAAGTTGGGCAAAATTGGCATTTGTTATACTTAAGCTCCTCAAATTTCTTTTTTGCCTGTCATGCACATGAGCAATTGTCATGTGCCTCTTACAGTGAGCTCTCCTGACTATTTGCTTTGTGTAACATACCTTCAAGAATAACTCCAGGGAAAATTGCTTTTGATTATATCAAGATAATAGCAGTGTGAGCATGGGTTGTAATGTTGAAAGAAGCCTCGATAGAGTGAATGGTTCAGCTTCCACCCCGTCACAGAATCTTTATGGTCATGTTATAATTAAATCCACAAGGGTTAAATTTTATAATTAAATCCACGAGA